GGGAGGGGTCAGGGGGTCCACCACGCTGTCCACCCCTGCACTTGAAGAGGACACCACCTGCCTGGGGCTGAATGACCAAGGCCCCTCCAGGGCCTCAGGCAGCTATTCTTATCAGGTGCTGGAATCTTTGCGGATTTGGTTTCCTAGCAGAGCTCGCCTCACCTGTCCCGCCCCCGCCCTTCCCCTCAAGTTCCCCAGTCCCCAGCCTCCGTCCTCAGGACTCCGCCAAGGCTGCAGGAAGTGGTCACCCAGGGACAGCCCGAGGGTGGCCTCTGCCTTCCTGGCGTCAGGAGACTCGGACGCCTGGCCCTTTCCCAGCCCAGCCTCGTCTAGGGTCGGAGGAGCCCAGAGCTGCGCTCCTAGTTAGGCGAGAGGTCGGATTCCGCCGACAAATCCCAAAGAGAGGGATGGGGAAGGAGGTACCAGCCCTGAAAGCGAAAAGCCGGAGCGTCGGAGAGGGAAGTCCTGAAAAGCCGCCAGGAAGTCCCGAGGAACGCAGGGCTGGAATGGGGGCGCGGCGACCCCTGCCCTGACCCTCTCCTCCCACCCAATCCGGCGTCGTCAACCCCTGCTTGGGGTCGGGGGCTTTGGTGTCTGCGGAGGCTGGGAGCCATTCCGGAACCGGACACTTGGGGAGCACCCCGACGTGGACCCGGCCCCGCACGTCCTGAGAAAGGCGAAGGGTGCATTCCCCCCCTTCACGTCCCCTGTCCCCTGTACCTGCGGTGGCGGCGTGTCTGGCGGGACCCAGCCAGGCGGGGCGTGTTCCGACCACTTAAAAGTTACAAAGTGAAACTCCGGCGCTTCCTGCACATGCGCAGAGCTGCGTCCACAGCTTGCCCAATTTGGAGTCTTCGCCCGCGCCGGCGCGAGCCTGGACGCAGCCGACTGCGCCTTCCGCGGTGGCCCTCGGCGGTCCTCTGCCCTGGCCTGGCCTCCTGATCGTCGCTTAGCCCCGCAGGTCCTCCCGGAGGTCTGCAAGCCCCGGACCGGCCAGCTCAAGTCCAGAGGCCGAGAAGGGATCCGTTGGGGCGCACCCTCTTCTGTCCCCCTGCACGCCTGGACGCCTCCGGGAGACCTGGGCCAAGCACAGGGTGGTCGCAGCGCAGGGAAAGCATCTGCAAACGTTGGTCCCTGTGGTGCTTTGAATTTCCCCGAAGAGCTCTTAGACCCGCCCCGGGAGGGTGGAGGTGGCGGGGTGGTAGCATGGGGAGCTCAACAGGATTCAGCCTGCACCTCGGCTCCGGGCAGTCGGGGACCGCGCGGAGCGCCCTGCGAGAGGCCGCGGCTCCCCCGCCGCTGTAGAAGGCCGGACCGTGAAAGCCCGGAGGGTCTTCGTTCCGGCAAAAATGTGGGGGCGGGTCGCAGCATTTCCAACGCTCCCTAGGGCCAAGTCCATTACTGCCAGAGCCAGGGCCGCCAAGGGCACCTACTCCAGCCCAGCTCCGAGAGCGCGGCATGCCTCCCGGTCCGGAGCCAGATGTTTCCAGGAAGCCGGTGGCCTCTACAACTGGACCGCAAGCTCGCAAGAGCGGGGCCGGCCCGCAGCGCCTGGGGCTGCTGGGCGCTGCGCAGGAAGCGAGGCTGGGTTCGGGGAGGACCGCGCGCCCTGGGAATCAAGGAGCAAACCACCCCATCCGCAGGCCCCTGTTTCCCTATCTGTGAAACGAGTGGTTGGACCAAAGCTTCCTCTCAGGTCCTTTCTAGCACCAAACCTGAGTTCTGAGCAGTCCTCACCCCACATGCACGGCTTTGCGGGTTCTCCGACCTCTTCCATTTCTGAGCTTTCATCTTTTTCTGTAACGGTATAAAAATATCCTTCTTATGGCCGGGCGCCGTAGCTCATGACTGTAATACCAGCACTTTGGGAGGCCGAGGCGGGCGGATCACCTGAGGTCAGGAGTTTGAGACCAGCCTGACCAGCGTGGAGAAACCCCGTCTCTACTAAAAATACAAAATTAGCCAGGCGTGGTGGCACATGCCTGTAATCCCAGCTACTAGGGAGGCTGAGGCAGGAGAATCGCTTGAACCTGGGAGGCGGAGGTACAGTGACCCGAGATCGCGCCATTGAACTCCAGCCTGGGCAACAAGAGTGAAACTCCGTCTCAAAAAAAAAAAAAAAAATTCCTCATTACCTCCTTGTCCCTGATTCTAGCGCCAGTCTGTGGCTGTCCAGGGGTCGGGTGGGGAGGGTCTCTTCCTGCCTCTCTCAGTTCTTTTCTGTCCCATCTGGCTTCCCCTTCTCTCCCCAAACCTCTATCCACTAGTTATTTCCCAGGGTTTTTCCTCTGTGCCCACCCCCACCCAATCTCTGCCCTTGTCCCTCCAAAGCTGGGCCTGGCCATCCCCCCTCCCCGCTCTCTTACCTCCACATCTGACCATCTGCAGAGTCCTGGGTGTGGCCCCTGGACTCCTCGTTGGCTCCTGAGACTGTCCCTGTCCAATCTTCTTTCCACTCCCCTCTCCCGCACCTGCCTGTCCTCCTCCCTTCCCTGCCTCAATGAATGGTGCCCCCACATGTCTGGTCTGTGGGGGCACCATTCATTGGGGCAGGGTCCAGGCAAGTGCAAGGTTCCGGTCTTGGTAATTAGAATGCTGGAGCCACTGGCAAAGATTTCAGAGAAAGAAAGGATTTCTAAATTTGTTCTTGAGTAGGTTAAGGTTATTTCAAAATCAAGAGAAGGCCTTGATAGATCGGAATGTGAGTTGAGATAGCCACAACCTTTGTTACGTCAGTTGTGTGAAGTGTTTGTAAAATCTCTGTTTTATTTTTAATTTTTAATTAATTAATTAATTTACTTATTGAGACAGAGTCTCGCTCTGTCCCTCAGGCTGTAGTGCAGTGGTGTGATCTCGGCTCACTGCAACCTCTACTTCCTGGCTTCAAGTGATTCTCCTGCCTCAGCCTCCTGAGTAGCTGGGATTACAGGCATGTGCCACCACACCTGGCTAATTTTGTACTTTTAGTAGAGACAGGGTTTCTCCATGTTGGTCAGGCTGGTCTCAAACTCTCAACCTCAGGTGATCCTCAGGATTACAAACGTGAGCCACCGCGCCCAGTTGCACAGCTCTTATAGCTATAAATTCCAGATCCTCTGGAGCTTTATTTTCTTCTCTAAATATAGATGATTATTTTGATCACAGGTTTTATTATGATGCAAGTAGGATTGAAATAAAGTCCAATCACTATGCCCAGGAAAGTCAAAGTGTCAAGAACAGAAAGATTTCTGTATCAATTCTGAGAGGACAGGCACCACAGATACTAGAATCAGAATGCATTTTATTTTTATTTTATTTTATTTTATTTTTGAGACAGAATCTTGCTCTGTTGCCCAGGCTGGAGTACAGTGGTGTGATCTCAGCTCACTGCAACTTCCGCCTCCTGGGTTTAAGTGATTCTCATGCCTCAACTTCCCGAGCAGCTGGAATTACAAGCGCGCACCACTATGCCCAGCTAATTTTTGTATTTTTAATAGAAACGCAGTCTCGCCATGTTGGCCAGGCTGGTCTTGAACTCCTGGCCTCAAGTGATCCGCCCACCTCGGCCTCCCAAAGTGCTGCGATTACAGGAGTGAGCCATGGTGCTGGCCCTGAAAGCATTTTAATCCTAGTTTCCTGTATTACTTAACCAAGATCTTTACCAAGTCTTGGCCAACTCAAGCTCTTTCCTTAGTTTACGATTAGGTTGACCTAATCTCTGTAGAACTTTCTGCTCCTTCCTCAATTTGCAGAGCTTTGATTAAAATGGAAAATTACAGCCAGGCACAGTAGCTCATGCCTGTAATCCCAGCACTTTGGGAGGCTGAGGCTGCCGAATGACTTGAGGTCAGGAGTTCCAGACAAGTGTGGGCAACATGGCAAAACCCCATCTCTACTAAAAATACAAAAAATTAGCCTGGCATGGTGGTACATGCCTGTAATCCCAGTTATTCAAGATGCTGAGGAATGAGAATCGCTTGAACCTGGAAGGCGGAGGCTGCAGTGAGTTGAGATTCGGCCACTGCACTCCAGCCTGGGTGACAGAGCAGGACTCCATCTCAAAAATAATTAATTAAAATAAAATAGAAAATTACAAAATTACAGAATAAAATGTGTTTTATTCATGTTTTACAAAGTCTTTATTATCTGAATTGGGGTTGCACAACCCACACTTAACCCCAGGTCTTAGGTCCATAGTGGTGGAGGAATTTAGCCCAGATCCAGTGACAGGACAATGACACATTTGGGTTTCTGCCCTCAGGTTACAGTATCTCCACATGTAAGTGCTTAGAATATAGTGCAGCGAATAATAAGAATAGAGAAAACTGAGCAAGGGCTCCCCAGTGGCCAAGGACTCTCATTCCTGAGAAGCACAAACTAGGTGAGGTAACTTGTCAAGGGAAGCAAATTCAGGGCTCACTAGAGAGCACAGAGCATTTGTCCATCAGCAGTTCAGTCATCACCAGCTCTCCTGGTACCCTAGAACACTTCAGAAACACACACAAGTCAAGTCCCTCGGTGGCTACACCAGGCGCCTATGGCTGGAGTCCCCTTGGCACGAGTGCCCCATCTGAGGCACAGCTGCACTTCTGCACCCTCATGTTAGGCAGGCTGACCACCTGGGGCCTGGTCCTGCCTCCCTCCTTGATGCTGACGATCATGGGCAGCGAGGCAGTCTCCGAGGCGATGCACTGTCGTGGCCCCAGAAACGGCCACTTGAAGGCCAGGGCCTCCGGGGGCTGCTGGCAGGTGCCCACACACTCATAAGCCAGGAACCCCGGGGGCTCCAGCACCCAGTTATCAGCCCACTTCATCCCCTGCAGGTCAATGTACATCTCCTGGCGGCAGCAACGGGTGCCCTCGGTCACTGGTGCTTCAGGGTCACAGTCGCCCTGAGCTCTGTGTGGGCAAAGAGAGCAGTGTCAGCAGTCAGCTGGGCAGGCTGAGGTCAGAGGGCATCTGGGATGGAGATTTATGATCCATCTCTCAACTTCAAAAAGCTGGATGTTTGTGATATAGGATAGACAGCTACAAATAACTTGAAAATTAATAACTGATATTTACTGAGGACCTCCTAAGAGTCAGACGAAGAATTGTATACGTTGTCTCATTCATTCCCAGAGCACTCTGAAAAGTTGTCCATTTCAAAACAAATTTAATTGCCTCTCTGTCTCTTTATTCGGCTCACCAGTTTAACCCTCAGCACCTACCCGTAGTCTCCGAGGTCCAGGGTGTGCAGCTCCAGCTGGGGCTCCCCAAGCCCGGCCGGCGCCCCCTGCGAGGCAAAGCGGACCAGCTTGTGGGCGCCGGACGCCAGTGGGCCCGGATGCTCCCTCTGCACCGATACCTGTAGCAGCAGCGGCTGCCGGGGCCGGCTCAGCTGCTGCCAGAAGTTCACGGCCTCGGTCACGTCGAAGACCTTCCAGCCGCTCTCGTGGACGGACACCAGCCTGAGACACGACACGGAGACCCAGCGCCGCGTGAGGGCGGGGACTGGGACTGGCCCCAAGGACCCCGCTCCGCCCCCCGCGTCCCCGCCCCCAAACCAGGCCCAGCAGCCCCCTCCCCCTGCCCTGCGCGCCCGTGCGACCCCCACCTGGAGTCGATGAGAGAAGTGCGGTTGGAGCCGTCGTCGCGGACGCGAAGCCACTCGACGGTCACCCGGGCCCGGGCGCTGCGCGGGGACAGCCGCCCGTGCCTGTGCAGCGTGGCCTTGGGGACCGGCTCCTGGAAGAGCCGCAGTACGGCCTGCACCAGCTCGCTGTTGGGCGGCAGCCGCTGCTCCATGCCGAACACCAGCAGGTGCGTGCTGGCCTCCGACGCCAGGAACCTGCCGGCCACCTCTGGGGACAAGAGTAGGGTCAGCAGGGCCTCCCTGGACTCCAGGGAAACTCTGAGGATGGCAGGGCCACTGAGCTGGCAGCCAGGCCAAGGAGACACCGGCCCCTGTTCTATCTCTGGGGCAAACCCAGTTTAAAAATCTCCCTTGGATTTGGGCCTTGTTTAGTAATCATCTCAATCCAGCATGCAGGGGCGCCTGTGGAACCCTGGGCTAGCAAGTTTGCCTCAACTGAGATGCTGGGAGCAGAATCCTCACCCAGGTGCCCGGCCTTGGGTCTAGCTCTGCGCACTGAGGAGCTAGGGAGGTGAGAGGCTGCACCCCTGACAGCCAGGTATAACCCAGGTAGTCTACTTAAGTGCAGTATTTTCCAGTTACCCAAACGCGCTTCTATTTACAATGACTCATTTTGATGTTCACAATGCTGGAAGATGGGCAAGACATAGTTATACCCCAGTTCCACATAAGCGAATGGTTGTGAGATGATTTTAAAGCAATATGCTCCAAGTAGAGCTCAGACCAGAGCAGCAGTATGAAAACAGACCCTGGGAGTCCTGACTGCGTCCACCACTGCGTGCTGAGGCCCCGCCATCCTCACAGGCCCGGCCCCACCTCACTGCCCTTTAGACTGTGGCCCTCACCCAGCCTCCCACAGACCTCTGCAAGGCCAGGAGCCTTTGACGCCACCGGAGTGGACACATCTGACCTGCCCCATGGGACCAGGGGCAGCAGGGAGGGAGGGCCTCACCTCGGAAGCTCTGGCTGAACCTCTTGCCGCGGGAGCGGTCCCCGTGGCTGCGCTGCAGCAGGGTCAGGTATTGGGCCCTCACGTGGGCAGGGATGACCAGCTCCTCCATGTCGGCCCTGTCCAGTACCGGCGCCTGGCTGAGCTGCAGCTGCTGCAGCAGGCTGCCCAGGAGCTGCTCCCCAGTCAGGGCCGTCCCGGGGCCGGCCAGGGGCAGCACCCAGAGTGCCCAGCAGAGCCACAGGGGTCGCATGGCACTGCCTGGAAGGAGCGGTGGGCAGAATAGGAATGTCCCTCGAGATGCCTGAAGGAGGGTCTTAGGCAGCTGGATGTGCTGAGAGCCAAGCCTGGGCAGCTTTATAGCCTGGGGTGGAGGGAGGAGGTAAGGAGTGGAGAGGGAAAGAGGGAGGGAGGTCACACCCCTGGGACCTCCTGGGAGCTCACAGCCAGACAGGTCCCAGAGCTGGGAGGAGGGGCTGTCTAGATAGGACAAGTCTGTCTGGGCTGTGAACAGCTGGCTACGGCTGTCTGTACAATGGTCGTGAACCCCTAATGTGGGTTGAGGCCTGACCAGTTAAATTAAAAAGCTCATTTCCTAGAGTAGACATGAGGCTCTCATTCTCTGCAAGAGGCTCAGTTCCCCCAGTTGCTGGTAAGTGGACCTAGAGGCTTGTGCCTTGCTGCAACCAACCAATCGACAGGAACGAGAATGACTTGGGCAATGTAAGGGCCAATCCGGCCTGCAGGGATGAGCATCTGGGCCCCTGCTCAGAGGGTCCTGGGGCCTCATGAGATCCTGAGCTGGTGGTCCCCAGTTGTGAAAACAGACTTCCCACTGTTCTGGGGAGACCTTCCTAGGCAAGGGAGCCTAGTACCAATGGGGTTTTGTCCAGTAAGGAAGGAGCCTCATCCTTTCCCTCATCCCTGCTGTTCACAGAATTAAAGTTTAGAGTTGAAAGGAATATCCAGGCTACCTTCTCCCCCAGTTTTTTTTCCTTTTGAGGCAGAGTTTCATTCTTGTTGCCCAGGCTGGAGTGCAATGGCCGAGTCTCAGCTCATAGCAACCTCTCCCAATTTTTGAGCTGAAAAAAAACTGAGGCTCAGAGACGTGTCAACTTCCTGAAGCTCACAAAGTTAATGATCAATGTCCATATAAAGTCAGGTCTTGCAATTCACAGTTCTTGGCATACTCAAATTATTTACAGCCTAGTTTTGACCTATGCCCTAAAGGGAGTCAGGTGGTCTCAATCCAGGTGATCAGGTCTAGGCTGGGGCAGGGGGACAATCCCCCAAGACAGAGGACCTCTATCCTGAATGTGGATTTGTGATCTGGTTAAAGAGTTTTGCTGGGGAAATAAAACAATTGGGTGATCAGCCAGGGGTAGGGCTACCAGATAAAATACAAGACACTACTTGGGACATAATTATACTAAAAAATTATTCATTGTCCACCTGACATTCAAATTTCACCAGAGTCCTATATTTTAATTTCTTTTTTCTTTTTT